CTTATTTCACATCCAAGGCCCACCTGTTAGTAAATACAGACAATTTCAACTTAGGACTATTAACTACTGACTAGTAACTATTACTAACTTGTGACTATTAAATAGTAACTACAGAGACAAACCATAAAAACACACTTTATTACGCTCGAGGCGCCGAGTACGCCATCACCTCTCCAGAACCTGGATGAAATGACGAAGCATCGGCGCATCGGCCTTAGCTGCAAACATTTTCAGGATGCTGTTGGACGCGGGCTTAGCAACTGAAGAGCTCTTTGTGAAAGAACCTTACCTTACCTATTTCTTCCGCCAAGTAGCAACGTTAGCATTACTGCCTTCCGGTTTAGAAGGGTAAGTGTGCTGGTGAAATTACAGGCACATGAGACTTGGGCGCAATGGCAGTACCCCTCAGATCTTTGCGATTTAAAACTCTGAGTGACACTGCAACTGTTATGGACAGGCACACGCGCCTGTCCACAACAGTTACAGTGCTTACCATCAGAGCTCACAACTTGTTCCTCCTGTTACTTGATATTATAATAAAAAAAGCTAGAGAGTAGTGACGCCGTCTGTTTTCGCATCACAGCAACAATGTCATCTATTCCTGCTTGAGCAAACATTGACAGTGGCGCTACAGTATCGCGGTAGTCCCAACAGCATCCTGAAACAGTTCAGTACTCTGTGCTAAACTAAGCATTCACAAGTAGACACATGTTTGGCAAGTCAATGTAAAATTTATATGCTAGCGATTTGATTTCTGGAATAATTTTTGTATATTTCATTATGAACCAGGGGCTAGTGTACGTGAGCAACAATCAAAATCCAGTATTGTTATAGTGTCTAGCTCATCAGAAAAACCAAAGTCGGTTGATTCCACTATAACGCAACAACCAACAAATGAACTGATAAAACTCGACGTGGAACCAATTACAATTGACGATGAACAGATTAAACCAGTTGAAACGGACCAGGAACCTATTCGACTATACGTGGAACAAGTTAATACGAACCCGCAACCGATAGAACCAGATACCATCAGTGCAACCAAATCTGTCGAAGAAGAAACGGCATCATTTTTTACCAAAGATCCAGACGGTAAAACAATTAAATTTGTTCAAAATGAGCTTGTGGATTACAGAGTAAGCATAACTGAATTGTTTTTTGTTGATAACATAGTGCCATGTAGCTGTTTGCCGACTAGCCGTATGGGCCATGACTCGAATTTGTATTGAGCATACTTACGATTGTTGCTACAAACGTAACAATCGTAAGTATTAAAATTAAGTATAATTTTAAATAATCGTTATTTGTAACAATAATTTTAAAGAAACATCGCATGTAAATGTTGAACTTCCAAATATTTCGCTATCGCCGTAAGTTGACAAAAAAACCAAAACGTGTAATTTTTATGATAATATTGTCTATCATACCTGTAAGAGTTTATTTATTAGAAAATTAGTTTCATATTGACTACAAAAAATATATTTGACATGAAAATGATTCTCATTGTCATATTCGTTGCGAGGTTTGTTTATAACTAAGGAAGTATAATAATATACGTAATTTATAACGGGATTTAATTTCAATATTTCTGCATTTGCGTGGAATGATGGCATTGTTGGATGGATTCGCATGACGTAATAAATTACATCTCAAACCATACAGTGGTAGGAATTATGGTGTATGTGTGTCAGGAGAAGATTATTTTGGACAGTACTGGCGGGTACTTTAAACCACATTTGCTATATTCGTAAATCTTACTCTTATTCATTTGAAAAATCATCGATTAGGTATGATTATGCAAGGCTGAAAGTAAATTTGAATGTGCATAATCACCCCTCATGAAAGTATGCCATATGTAGAGTTCCATCAAAAATGTTTATTGCTCCATTCCATTACAGAAAAATATAACCCACATTCTCTCCAATTCTTGTAACTCTATCGCCTAATGTTGTAGACAAACAAATTATAAACATGAAACCTTGATAAGTATTGGTCATAGTTGCTAATTTAAAAAGATGCGCCAAATTCTGAATTGTTAATATAATTTAAACTATATAACCAGCCGCTATATCGTCGAAAGTTCTATACCTTATTGCAAGTTTCGACGTTTTGATTTTAAATTGAAATTTTATTCAATGTGCTGCCATCTTGCGACTAGTAGCTGGACGACGACGAACGATTAACATCTGAACAAATAGAAAGTAGTATCTTCTCGACAACAGAGGTCTTCTGTATTACGTACACATTGCATAATGAACTTTATTTTATACTTATGAAGAATTTTTTCGCTACACTTTTATTCGCTACTAGCATGGAAAATTCGAGATGTTTGCTTAGTTTTCCAAAAGATAAAAGTTGACCATATTGCTCTGGGATAATGTTTACTTTGTTTGTTACAGTACAAAAAATCTATTATATAAACAGAACATTTAAAATTGATTAAAAATAAATAAGACTTACCGATGACATGAAATACTATTACGGTTAATATTTTTGGTGCGCCTATCATTTTCACAATTGAAAACAGCACAATAAGGCATTTTTCTACGATTTCAGAGATTGACGGAACCGTACCATACTAAGCAAAAGCTGAGCTCAAGTAGGTCTCACGAGACCTACTGTTAGCACGCGTCAGACGCTAACTACCTTGTCTAGACACTTCAATTTATCGATTTAAATGATTATTACAATTATCGTTTATCACGTAGGTTATAGTATATCACGTAGGTTATATGACTTATAAAAACACTTATAAATGTTGCTTCTCATTAACTATTTTTAATTACTTAAGTAAGGTTTCGATTGCAAGCGCTGATGTTTAAGTACCCCTAAATTTAAAAACTTTTCATTCAGGCATAATACATAAAATGGCGATTGTTGAAGTTGCTATTTACAATAAGTTTATTTAAGGAACGGGTGCAGACCGGATACTTCCGAGACCAAAAGAGACGTATCGACCTAATTATCGTGGTAGACCCAACAAGAGACAAAGATATTGAAAGAGCCAAGGAGACTTTCTTTCGAAATTGTATGAACTCCGGTCTCGAAATGGAACTAGAAACTGGCATAGTGAGTTTTTATTATTTGTATAGTTATTCTACTTAAGAATGTAGTAATTAAGGTACGTGAACCTGCAGTGTGAGATTAATTAGTACTTACATAAGTAGGTACTAATCGATACTAGCTGTTTGTCACTGTATTGTCTTCAAAATATTAGTTTAGGTGTTAACTTTCAACAGTGCTACCTCGAGACTATTTCGAATCGGCTTTTCACAAATACTTCAAAGTGCAGCAGTGTTTAATATTCGTATACGTAGAGCTAATACAGATATGATTAAGCTGCTTGTCCTCGAAATGAGGTCACCACACGGTAAAAACAGATTACTTGGAAAAAGACAAAATTGTTTTTATGAAGACAAATTTATTAATTCCAACAAAACGATCCTCTCCCTGTAGACGCTAGAGAATAATTACTTAATAAAAGTAAAAAACGTGCCAAAAGTGTATTTTAGTTAGACAGAAATATTTCATCCATAATCATAATCATCATAATTTACTTAAGTCATAAAGCTGCTCTAGATTCATCAAAATATTTATTAGAAATTTCTCATTTTGACTTGAAAAATGAAAAGAATGAAAAATTAAGAGGTACTTTTATTTGCCTGAGGATTATGTTTTTTATATTTAAGTGTGTAGCGCTGGCCAACGAAGGGGTTGCGTAGTACAACACACCGGACACTCCATACAACGGCCGAAAATGATTTGCCTACTACTACTACATACAGCAAGGCGCTATCTGCAAACGCGCAAATATGTGCGTGAAGTGGCAGGATTTTCCATCACCATCGAGTATATAACCAGAAATAGAGACGAAATAAGGGCCATATATTCCAGGTACCAGGATGGTAACACATAAGCGATACAGCTCTTATAAATATCAACTCTCGTTTGAATTAAAATATAGACAGGCCAACTACTGACCTGTGTATACGTCTCCGTATTTTCCAAAAAATATTCTGTATTTATTGTAATAAAGATAACATCTCTAACAATGCCGTACTGTTCTATTCGGTGGCGTGGGAAAAACAGGAAAACATCTAATTACAAAACAAACGGAACCACATTTCATCGGTAATTAAATATGTAATTTTTTAATTTTCGTCCATTACAGCAAAGCTCAAGTTAAACTGGTCCTTTTGAAATAAAACCATTTGCCGACACCCGTCAATTGTTTCGAATTCGGGCTGGCCAATCGGAGCGCAGTTGTCACAGTAATGATATGGCAGAATCGTAAAGGGAGAATAAAAAAAATAGAAAAGCTTCTCGCGTATACTGAAAAGGGATACCAACAGAGTACCTATAAATTCTTGGTTGTATACTTTTAAAATTTTACCCCGTTAAAGAAATTAAAATGAAAATGAAGCGTGGTAGCCTAATGGTTTGACCTGCGGCCTCTCAAGCAGAGGGTCGTGGGTTCGAATCCAGATTCGCACCTCTGAGTCTTTCGGAATTTGTGCGAAATTTAATTTGAAATTTATCATGAGCTTTTCGGTGAAGGAAAACATCGTGATGAAACGTTGAAGAAGGTTTAAAGTCCTCGGAAAACGTGTGCAGTCCCCAACACTCATTGGGCCAGTGTGGTGGACTGTCGCCTAAGCACTCGCCTGAGAGGAGACCCGTGCCCAGCAGTGGGACGTAAAAATGGGTTCATGATAATGATGAAATCTGCCGAGTCTAAGGAGGGAGAATCCGCCAGACCACATTTAGCTTGGTTGAGTTTTAGTAACCATATAAAACACATTACTTTTTTATTGGCCCTTGAACAGTGTTAACTTACTATACATATCGAGTTCTTAGATTTTCGCGATTGTTACACATAGGAAACGAAACTATTTTTCCGGATTTAAATAGAGCATAATATATTTGTTTTTAAAACAAACCGACGTTCCGGGCCCTTTACAGGTCCCATCAGTCAACCGTGACCAAGGGACCTGTAAAGGGCCCGAAACGTCGGTTTGTTTGAAAAAACAATTATACGCGATGTAAATCCGGAAAAATAGTTTCATTTCCTATTACTATACATATATCAAACTTTTTCTTGCTTGCCGATAACTTTTTTACAGTGTGTGCATTCGTACACTTAAATATTTTTCACATAATATAGACTTAATTAAAATATCATAATGGTTATCTATCATAGGCAGATCTTTGAAATGTTGAGAGATATTTATAAATAAATTCTTGTTAATACATTCTTTTAAACATTTTTGTGTAAGGTGATGCAAAGGATTTTTCGTTCCAAATAACTTGTTACATGCGTATATTTTTTCCGCAATTTCACAAATAACAATAACATCATTTGATGGATAATGCAAACCGCCTTTATCTTTTTTATATTGCAAACTTTTAAACTTTTCTTAACTTAGCACGGATAAGCACTCTGCACATTTTATTTGTTTTCCAGACGCTACAAAACAAAACCCGCAATGCATATATAATGATTTGTTTCGCAAATTCAGTCAATTTGCTTGGGTTAGCCAGGTAATCGTGGTCATTGTCCAACACCGGTTTCTCCGATTCTTCTAGTAATGTTTCAACTCCGTTATGTAGCAATCAATTGCGCTCTGTGGTGATGTTAATAGCAACATGAGGTTTAATATATGTTAAAATCGTTACATCACTTAAAGGTATACAATAACCAGAGGCAATGTGTTTTAGTTCGCCATGAATGAACATTCTCTTAAACGCTGATTGGAATTGCTTGCCGACGGGTTGTTGTTGAATCCACCTTTCGCTCTAATGGCACTAAAAAAATACTCGAGGTGATCTTGGCTCATTTTGTATGAGCATAAAAAATCAATTCGACTTGTTTTAACCATTTGGTCACACAAATAAATCAAACTTTTAATGCACATTAAAAATCCTAGGAAACCCGTTTTTCTGTTCGACATTAAAATAGGTATATTATTTAATTTTAAACCAGTAATGTAACGGTACATATTTTCCAAACTATTTATAGTAAATAAACTAAAATAAACTATTTATGAGCATCACAACTTTGTTTTAATAATGGCTTCTTAAAGCCGTAAGCATTCAAATTTCGTGAATTCATTATATCAAATAATGAATTGAATTTTCTTATAAATTCTACAGTTGGTCCGCAACTTTTAAACTCTACAAGAGCTAGATTTTCCGCACAAAACTCAATAGCATCAGCTACTGATGCACTAAATGTCTGTACAACCAACTTTCATTATTTGTTTTTAGAATTGCACATGTGCTGTAGTAACTTTATTCTCCCCTCCCCTCTTGGAAACCCTCATTTTCTTGTAGATCAACAAGTTGTGTCACGAAATCCCATGAAATTATATTCTTTTCTCCCAAAGTGTTTCTAACTAATTTAAACATATGGGACTGATCTGGAAAAATGGCAACTGGTTTGCTCTTATATTTAAATATGGGTTCAATAGTTTCGCTATGTAGCTGGCATCCTAGCAGTTTAGCCATAGAAAAATTTGTTAGTTTCCTTTACCTAGAATAACTGATTACTAAATATCCATACTAAATGTATGGTAAAAATTTTTTTGCGATTCCTGACATTTCGAGTACTCTTACCTCAGTTGGTCCCATAGAGACTATTTATTGATCCTTAACAGAGACCGGATCGAATGGCATACAAAAAAGTTTTGAATAATTTTTCTTGCCTTTTATCTTGCTGACTGTACCATTTTTCCAAAGTCTGTGAATGCCAATCACCGACAATCAAGAACCGTTTTCCTGTAACTACAACGATGAAGGTGGCTGGCCTTCCTACCCCGTCTCAAATTTACACCCTGTATATTCAAATGCTTAGTGTTAAAATACTTCAAAAGAGTAGAGGTTTAGTAGTAGAGGTTTTCGCACCATTCGTACATATTTAAACGTAGATGGCATTGGAGCGGTAGAAGTTACATTCGACAGGTCCTAAAATTTAAAAACCAATTTTGTGTTACAACATTCTAATGAAAAATTACACAAAATTTGATTACAAGTAAAAATGCATAAATCGCCTGTAAAAAATTAAACCTGGATAGCTATTTACACTAAAAAGTTACAGATAAACCTTGTTATTTCTATTTTACATTTTTTATTGTACTTTTTTAATGAAACTCCCACTGTTGATTGGCCCTTTAAGGGTTATCTGGTTTTTATTCACCCCAGAGAGATGCGGGAAATACAAAAACAGAAGTAGCATACAGACAGTGTCCAAATAAGGGTTCCTTTTTACCGTTTAGTTACGTAATCCCAAAAATAAAAGCTGATTGAAATATTTACCAAAACAGTGTGAGCCTTTTGCTGTGGTATTAGATTCGGGAATGTGGAGGTGATTGTAGTTGGAATCGATTCATGTCATTAAACAATATAAATGATGTTGAGATTATCATAAAGTACTCATAAATTATGATGCAATTATACAATAAAAAATTTTGATACTTACATGCACGTTTATCGCTGGAACAGAACCGATTCGTAACAATGTTTTCTTTTCAGTTCTTTGAAAGCATTTTGTTTCAAAATGTATTGAACGTGTACTTGATGCACTAAGAGCAGTCCAGTTTGAACGACCTGTTGCACTCACCCATAAATTACGCTTGGCCAAATTTTTTGGAAATCTGTAAAATATTAAAAACACTTAAAACCAACTGACAATTATTTATATGAAATCAGTTAATCCACTTGTAAGGTAGCAAAATCACAAGCATTGAAAAAATAATACTGAAAAAGTATTGAAAAATAAAAAAAAATACATTATTTAAAATGACCCATAAATTGGGGAAAAGATAGTGGCAAAAGCACGGTATCCCTAAAGTCAGCTTAAGCCGGTCAAATTTAATTTACACGTTATTTATTTGATCTCTCTTTCTCGCCTATCATAACCACTGCTAGTAGAAGCGAGATGGACATATTTGACGAAAGTTAGATATTCTCCTTATTTTAGGAGGTTTATACGATGCAAACAAATATCTTTCAATCAAGAAAAACACTCCAAATATCATCTAAAATACATGAAATCGTAATATTTCAGACTT